CTCAGAATCCAATCTCAGCCTCGTGTATTAATCTTGAATTCCCTTCAGAAGTGCCCATTCAACCTCCTTCCCTTTTTGTTCTTATCTCTCATTTCTGACAGCTAATGTAGCACCTTTAATGGCAGCCATTGCCTCATTAAATACCTGCAAGTGTTCAAGGCTCTCCGGCAAAAGGAAGATGGAGAGCGCGCCGCTGGCGGCGTTTAGGCCTCCTTCTACCTGACATACAGCCGATTCCCGGCGCTAAATTTGAATATTAATGTCTCTGGAGGAAGCCGAGCTGGTCACAGGGGCCGGAGGTCATGAGGAGAGGTTGATTTGCCAACGACACAAACTGAAAAGGGGAGAAATGATGACAGATGCCAAGGTGGGAGGGGAGGAAAGCAGGGAAACAGAGCAGGGGGAAAAGAGGAGGAAAAAAGTAAGAAACTGATGAAAATGATGTTCAAAGTGGGACATGAAAGGAAAACTAGAAAGAGGAGAAGGAGAGCGGGTTTGAATGAAAGATAAGATGGCGTGGAAAAAGAGGATGAGATGAGAGAAGAGAAAAGAGAGGGAGATCTGGGCTCTGGGGTGACGGGGCTCTCTCAGATGCAGGAAGGGACCATCTGGACGAAAGCGGAGCCAGGTCTCTGACAGTAAACACTGGGCATCACTTTCTCATGGAGACGGCCCAGGAACGGGGATTCAAACACCCGCTCCACACTTTCCTAACACCAGCCACTCGCCACAGCCCACCCAGAAATTAAATCTGCCAAGCATCCTGCCCGTGTGTCGGTGTGAAAACACAACCAGACCTCAGTACTGGCAGCAACAGCGCCGTGCAACGCAACATCCCACTCCCAGATTGGCCTTTTTATTCGCCACCATGCCTTCCAGGACGAGTCTGATCCAATTTTAAAACATTGCTGCCTCTCACTGTATCAATAAACACTTCTGTCAGATCATGAGGGCCCATTGTCCCCACTGTATGCACAAACATACGAGTCAGTCACAATGTTTATAAGAGATTTATTATGCTTCCATGAACATGTTAGAATAGAGTTATGGTCTATACAAAACATGTTCATAAAATGTTTTATCTCAATAAAGATCTATTTAAAAAAACAAAACAAGGTAAGTTCCATGTTAAGACCATCATGTTTTTGATTTTGATTATTGTGGTGTATCTACCCCCCACGGTTTACCTGAGTTGGTACAGTCCTTTATTGTGAGACGTGCAAGCTCTCACTCTGTGGTTACTTCAGTATTTTAACGTTCTTTTGAAAAAACGGTAAACTACTGGCAGCGACAGACGCCAGAAGTTTACCGTTATTTCACAGTATCTATACCGTACTTGCATTGACGGTAACCTACTGACAAGATTAATTATGGTACAGCTACTGTGCATTTACAGTAAACTTCTGGCGTCTATAGCTGCCAGTATGTTACTGTAAATTTACAGGATTATTTCTTAGAGTGTAGGTAACTTGTGGAACTCTTCTTGGTTTGCTAGGTAACTTGCGTAACTCTGCTTAGGTTGCTAGGTAACTTGCGTAACTCTGCTTAGGTTGCTAGGTAACTTGCGTAACTCTTCTTGGGTTTCTAGGTAACTTGCGTAACTCTTCTTGGGTTTCTAGGTAACTTGCGGAACTCTTCTTGGGTTGCTAGGTAACTTGTGGAACTCTTCTTGGGTTGCTAGGTAACTTGTGGAACTCCTCTTGGTTTGCTAGGTAACTTGCAGAACTCTTCTTGGGTTGCTAGGTAACTTGCAGAACTCTTCTTGGGTTGCTAGGTAACTTGCCTAACTCTGCTTAGGTTGCTAGGAAACGGCTCAGTTTCAGTTTTTTGAAACAGGTAATTTTCCTTACTGCCAAAAACCAGCTGAGTGTTTTTTTCAAGCTCTCATGTTGTTTTTAGAAACAGTAGCAACATGCAAAATGTAGGGTTTTTTTCCCCTTTAAAACATTTTAGTGGAAATTTATGTGATACATACAACAAAGCAACACTTGACGGTGTAGTGAGAAGAAATCAAGTCAATACTTTGTCGAAACATCTTTAATTTTATCCATTTTATAAGTTTCAGTGTCTTGTTCCATTAGGAGATTAGAACTAGAATATTTTCATCCATATTAAGAAATTATTGACTTAAAACAAGCTCCTGTTTCTTGCTGAAAAGTTACTTTTGAGTTAGTTTTATCTTATTAATGTTTCCTTATATATATGCACTGGAAAACAAACCAAAAATATTTGGTAAGATTTTGTGTTTTTACATAAAGTTGTTTTTTCGTTGTTTTTGTTGTTGCCACTCTTCCATAAAGCACAGAACAGTTGCATTTAAAATTTAAAGTAAGTTTAGATTACACACAGATAGATGTTCGTCTTGAGGTGATTTTAGAGGATTTTGTTCAGATTTAAGGAAGCTTTATATTTTTTAGCAAAAAATTATTTAGCAATAAATATTTTCTTATTTATTGCTAAATAAATTCAAATTTAACTTCCCTTCAAATTTATGACAATGCTTTACTTTGTAGTGCTATAAAATCACACTAAAACACACTGAGGTTTGTAATGAAACACAATGCAAAAGGATTCAAATGTGAATACTGTAGCCTTTAAGAAGCAGCTTCACCTCCTTCCTGGGAGGAAATTGAAATAATCCTCTGCAAAAACCATCCAAGCAAATATGTCCCAATGAGACACACCTACATCTTTCTCACCCGCAGAGTTAATTAGAAACGTTCAAACCTCTACTAGCATGCTTCTTTAACATTTTATGGCAACTAAATCATTTACATATCTCAAAACTTTAAACTCTTCCCTTCTTGGCTGAATTATACGAGGCAGAACAGAGAAAGTGGGTAAAAAAAAAAAAAATCAACACAGAGGACAGTTGATCTCTGCTGCCCCCTGTGTTGCAAATGAAAACAACTAGCAAGTTTGAAAAGAGGAGGAGCAGCGAGCAGCTCCTGGATCAGAAGAGTCAAAGCCGAGCCACCATGCAGGCTGAATGACAATCAGCCTGCATGTTAGTGATGAAAGAGAGCTCTAAACCCAGGAGCGATGCAGCAGCAATAAAAACACACATAATTCACCAACACAGGCACAGCAGCATCACATAAACATAAGAAGGAAAATCAAATTAAAGTTATACTATTTGACATGAAGTTCAGACTCCTAATTGTGTTTTGGGTTTGATTAAAATCACATTTTCCGGGATAATCCCGACAGTCCCGCCTGTGTACAGTCGAAGGTGTCTTGGTTTGTGTGCAGCGTTCAAATATCTCAGCCAAGTTTGATCTCACAATAAAATCAGGATTATCCTTCATGAAACTGTGATTATTCTCCAGAAGGATTTCCAGCTTACAAATGAAGACGCAGTGAACCACACAGACAAATAACCAAAATCCTCACCTCACAGAACAGTTTGTCGTCAGGATGCAGATTACCGGACTCATCTGAAAGGAAGAACCTCTGCATCATTAGTACGCATTCACACCAACCCGGTTTAGTCCGGTTTAAATGTACATCTTTTTGGACTTTGTGAGCCTGGTTTTTCAACTGGTCCCAGAGCAGTGTGAAAGAGAACCACACCAGCTGAAAATGTAACACTGATTGTCGCTCGCAAGGCGTTGTTTACAAATTATAGTTCACTTGCATAAAAAAAAAAGCACAATGTGAAAGCAAACTGCACCAAATACAAATAGCAGAATCTAGAAAGGTGAATGGATAATCAAACTCTGATTCTGGTCTGCTTACAAACTTCTGTCTCGGTTCCGTTGAAGCGAACTCTGGAGCAGTTCGAATGCATTTATGTGGATGAAAGCACAACAGAGACCTCTCCAAAAGCAGGAAGCAGATTGTAGCGCAGGGCATTCTGGGTAAATACAAGCAAATAAAAAAAAACCGCTAACGCTAGCAGGAGAAATGGAGAAAAATAGTACAACTTAAAAAATATGACACCACTCCATTTTGTTTACATTTTGCGTATAAAAAAATTGCATTCTACATCTTCTTCAGAAGTTTTCACGTTGTTTTTGTCAGTGGTTTTTGGTGCAGCGCCCCCCAAAGGCGAGGAGGGGGACTGGTTTTTCAAATGGTTTGGTTTGAAAATGTAACAAATGTAGCAATTTTGTTCCCCAATCAAACCTAGTGAAAACACCCTAAGAAACCCCAATGCTTCCCTCTGAAAGGCAGGACAGGCCTGAGGTTCCGGCTCTCTGGAAAACAGCACACAGATAAACAACAAAAGATGGTTTTTTTTTTTTTTTTTTGTAGATACACAAAGTGATTAAGCCCTGCATGTGTGAATGTGCGCGCAAGATGGAAAGTTTGTTATGACTCATGGCCATAAGCAGCGGAGGAACAATGGCAAAAAGATGCTGGGTGCAGGAAGTAAAGCCTGCAGGGAGCTTTTAACACTTCAGAAGAAAGCCGAATCTCTCTCTCCCTCTCTCTATCTTCTCACTGTTGCATAAAGTCTAGGGGTAAACATGAGACAGAACTGCTGTGCCTTTTCGGCCAAGAAGAGCGAAATTGCAGGGATCAAAGCAGTCCAATTATCATGTGTTTATGGAGTGCCAATTATCTCTGGCACTGGCAGGAAGGATTCTGTAACACCCGGTTGCACCACAAAGACACAGGAAAGGTAGTCGTCGTGTTTACAGCAACTCCCACCCAAAAGTCCCAAACAAGGTCAAAACGTGGTGGCAAATTAAAAATAATTGCAGATGTGAAGAAAGTCATCCACAAACACAAAATTATGGAGAAACTGGAGAGATTTGACAATATTTTGAAGATGTTACATCATTCAGCATTTTGTAAATGAGGATGGATTGCTTCCCTGCACAAAGAGATTCAGATGGTTTTCCTGCACAGGAAGACACTTTGCATTCCTATCAGAGCAGCCATAACCATAACACAGGATGAAGGTAATAACTTCAGGCGTTACGTCTGTTTTTATGTGCCCGGTTCTATAAAGGGTTACATGGCAGCATAGGTGAAGAAAAAAAAACACCCACCAGCTTCAAAAATCCTCCTTCAGTAAACTTATTTCTTTTTATTTCTTTCTTGTGGCAATGCCTCCAAGACTGTCCTACACACCAGATGCCATCAAAATCCAATCATCCATGTATTTGGATTCTTTGTGTTTACGTCCTACAGAGAAGAAACACAAACAGAAAGACTAAAATTTCCATATGAGATGGTTTACAGTTTATCTCAGAAAATACAAAAGCAAGCCTTGTCAGGCGTAAATGTTGATGAAATGAACATCAGATATAGGAGTGTATAGCCTTTTCATGCTTGTCAAACATAAAACTATTAGTTTTTGTTGCGTGTTTGTCAAAATACTGAGCAACTCCCAGACCTTGTGTTGAAATTGTGGCTCTTTAAAAGCAAAACAAGGACAGAAAAACTTTTTTTTTCTTTTCTCTGCAATAATGAGCAATAAATATGTGTTTTTTTTTATTCAAATATACCAGATTATGCAGAAATCTCGACCAGCTGTTTTGGATTTTTGCAGAACGTCACAAACACATCAGTCCCCGACTTGGGTTTAAATATTTGATGAAATATTAACCTGTCTCTATTCAAAAACTAAGATTACAGAATACAACTAAACAAGTTACATATTGCAACAGATCTGTTGGTATTTTTTAGCACCTCAGTAAAACTACTACACCCGTCTCCAGATTATTTCCTTAATATCAGAATGCAGTTTAGATCATCGACAATTTGATTCCATACTTTTATTCGCAGCCAAAACAAGCACCAGGAATTAATTCAGAAGTTTTAAGAGACGTACGTTTAGTAGAAAAGTAGAAAATATACAATATAAGGTAGAAACGATAGAAATTTTGTTTACAATAGAGATCTGCAGTCTACCGGCTAACTGCGGTAATGCTTGTTGATGACGTAACCGGCCGACGTCAAAACAGGGGAAGTGGAAAGCAGCGTGGCCGAGAGTGTAAAGGAACGCAAAGGAAGTGCAAAGGCAGGTGCAAAAAGCGTGAATTATCCAGACCATTCTTAGCACAATGCTCAGGAGCAGCGCAGCAGATGTCACAGTCAGACAGCGGGGAAACGAGGGGTAAAAGCGCAGGTGAAGTAAATGCAAAACCGCCGGGATGCGCACACACTCGTTGAATCCAATGAAGCCTGTCACTGAACCCGCCTGCAGTCTCAGCGTGATGCTCAGAAGCAGCGCGGCAGATGTCACGGTCTGACGATCTTTCCAAAACCACACACAAAAAAACCTCATAAAACCTCACAGTACGACCAAGTACAGAGTAAAAACCTTGTGGGGTTTTAATAACTCTGTGTCTTAAAACCGTGAGAGGTTTAAACAGTGAAACCAGGAGCAGAAAAATGTAATCTGCAAAGTGTGGAAGAGAGGAAATACATACATTTTGTTTTACCACCTTAAAACGAAGCATACAACTGACTACAAGTTCCAGTCACACAACACTGGGAAGAAAAAGCAGGATTTGACGCAGGCATCCTTTATATTAAAGTTATTGTGTTTCTATGTGGAGACATTTTATTCATTTATTTATTTAATGTTGATTTAACCAGGTAGTAACCATTGAAATTATTTTCTGTCTGTTAAGAGAACTTGCCATTATAATGTTTATTTTAAGGAAGATAAAAACAGTAACAAACATTACAAACAACATCCACAAAATCTAGTGTTAAGTTTCAACACATACAAATACAAATATATACATTCACTGTTAGAATGTGATTTATTTCCTTTCTATTATAAGTTTTATACAAATCATATTGTGATATATTTCATTACCGCCACCCATCACCATATTGTGATATGAATGTTACACCATATCACACATTCCTGTATTGTTTTTATCTTCACACACAAACCAGATTTAGTTCAAGAAATGATTTGACAACCTCTTAAATGATTTAGAAGAAGTAGCAAACATCTGTTGAAAGCCCAGAGCGCGACACAATTACCACGTACATGTCTTCAGCTCCAACCCTCACATGATTATTTATTTTTTATTTTCTTCACGCTACACGTTTTCAGTCCTCGCTTCAAACAGAGTTCTGCTCCAGCTGCTCTTGCGTGGATCCCAACAGGCGTTCAGCTGACAGATCACAGTGGGAAGCACTAAGATGAAGTGTCAATGCTACTCTAAGATCCGATGTCAAATCCCTTGTTTGGATTTTAGAGAACAGGCGGCTAAAGCAGGGATTGGTAGAGGAGTACAGTGCATATGAAGTTACTCCCACCACTGCTCATGCAGAGGGATATTCACTGTAATCCCCTGACTCTCCAAGCGGTGTATGCAAAATAAGCCGACAGCGAAATCTCTGTGCAGAGACACCCAGGCATGAGTAGAAGCCAATTCAGAAAATGTGGAGATCACTCAACTTTTTAAAAGCGCAGGTTTAAAAAGCGGCTGCAGAAAGTCAGAGCTACAATTTACGACAGCAGCAAATCCAACGTAAACGTTTAAAACCTCACTGAACTTTATGTACGTCACAGCTGGAGGTGTCAAAAGTACTCACATGCACTACTTAACCAGATGAAAAAATACTCTGGTGACAGTAAAAGTACAGGTTGGACTGTTTTACTCAAGTTAAGAAGTACAAGTTTCGAAAAAAAGTAATTTTCACTTTCAAGAATACAAAATGACTTAATACTTAAAATGTTCTCGTCATACAAAATCTCTGCTTTAACTCTTGGTTTCCTAGCAACAACTCACTCACTCCTGGTTTCCTAGCAACAACTCACTCACTCCTGGTTTCCTAGCAACAACTCACTCACTCCTGGTTTCCTAGCAACAACCAGTTGAGTAACTTGCGCAGCAGCAGTTTAAATTTCCTGCCTCATAACTACTTAAAAATAAAAAGCAACGACATGGAATCAAAAAGTGGATAAAACAGGAAAGGTCACGAGTTTGGTTGTATTTTAGAAATGGTAGATTATTTCACTTATAACTTGAACTTTTTCATCAATATTAAGGAATTATTGACTTACAACAAGGTCCTATTTCCTTCTGAAAAGTTACTTGTAAGTTAGTTTTGTCTTATTTCAAGTTTATTAAGATATTTGCGCTAGAAACTAGAAGAATACTTGGTAATATTTTGAGTTTTTGCAGTGTAGAAAGTACAGATATTTCTCTTAAAATGTAAGGAGAAAAAGTAAAAAGTTGTCAGAAATATACATACTCATGTAAAGCAAAGATGCAGATTTCATCCAACTGTGTCGTGAATTACCCCCACTGTAACACACGTTTTGTGCAAGCTGTGGATTTTTTCCGATTTTCTTTCCACATCTTTATTTTTTCCTCATGGAAGAAACTAGACATGTGAAAATCTTAGGAGTACACTGCAAAAACATAAAATCTCACCAAGTATTTTTGTCCATTTTCTAGTACAAATATCTTGAATATTTCTTTTCAGCAAGAAATATAAGCTTGTTTTAAGTCAATAATTCCTTAATATTTGTGAAAAAGTACCAGCTCCATTGGCAGATTATTTCACTGACAACAAGGGGAAATTTGTCTTGTTATAAGTAAATTTATATGCCAAAGAACCAGCAGTTTTTCATCAATATTAAAGAATTACTGACAATAAGCTTCTACATTGTGCTGGAAAGTTACTTGCAAGTTATTTTGTCTTATTTCAAGTTTACTAAGATATCTGCACTAGAAAAATACCTGATAATACTTCATGTTTTTGCTGTGTAGAAAGTACAGATATTTCTCTTAAAGTGCAGGGAGAAAAGGAAAGATAAACACTCGGATGCCGTAATGAAGGACTTGTAGGACTCTGGTCACCGAGTACACATTAAATTCAGAACAAGGATCCGTTCCAGGCATCTGAGGAAACTCGTCCTGTCTTTGCGTACTTTCATCCCGTCTTTCATCTCCTTTCAAGATGTTTGAAAGACCAGGCATGGGAGACGGTGATGAAGCCCCGAGGCTCCGAAAGCTACTTGTGAAGTTTGTGTTATTTGGGTTTGAAACAAGACTACTAGTCATAAGTGAGGACTTCCCCAGTGGCACTGTCGAAAGCTAAACTCTGGAGTAAGGAGTGAGGTTGGCAGGAGAGACAGAGATGTGGGGGAAGGAAGCCAAGAGGAAGAAATGCGGAGAGGTGAGAGGGAACGCTGAAGGAAGCTTCTGCAAACTTGCTGAAAAAAGAAAGAGAGGTGTGACTTCTTCAGTGCTCACCCGTGACAGTAAGGCGACTGCATGTGTAGGTGTGTGTGTGCGGTAGCAGCAAAGAAGTGTGTGTGCTGAGCTCAGCTAATGCCATGCTGCCATCTCCAGTGAGGCATCAGAAACCTGCGTTGGCAGAGAATCAACTTCAGGTCAGATCGCTGGCGCTCCGATTCACTGAGCTAGTTATGGTGGTGGGCGAGCAGCCGCTCTGACAGAATACCAAAACGAGCTGGCAGCGTCCAACTGAGACATCAACAACTGGAGAAATTCAACTTCTGAAACGTATCGACACAAAAGACCGATTAACAACCACTAACTGTGTCAGCAAACACCCTCAGTTAAAGATGCGGTGCTTAATGTAGTCGGAAAAAGTGAATTTTATGTGAAAACTAGCACCTGCAGTGGAGACATGTACAGGTGTCACTCAATTTAAAAAAGAAATGCCGGTGAATATTTTTAAGTTTTTACCACTTTCCAGCTGCACTTCAGCAGCAACACCGATGAGGAGGAGGAGGAGGAGGAAAGTTTCTCACCATGCCAGCAGAAGTGATTGAAGGTGATGTGGAAGGTGAAAAAAAGCGAAGTCGGAGTGAGGAAGTGGGGAAGCGGGAGGAACGGCAGGCGTTTTGAGAGAGCCGGGCATCCATACTGAGGCGCGGGCTGCAGGGCATGGCTGACACACTGCAGCCGAAGGTCGCACAGCGGCTCAGACGCCGAAACACCAGGCAGAGCAGAGGCAGCAGCTCTGCTCCCAGACAGGCAGGAAAAACCTCCGTTTCTGCAACCGTCTCCACGAAACGCAGCAAAAACCACGAAATTACCAAAAATCTCATATCCACTGTTAATCAGAGGGGAGAGTACACAAACACTGGGCTTCAACATATTTTTATTCAAATAAAAAGTAGCCATCCAAAGAGCCGGGTTTCCCCCTGAGTATTATAAGCCTGGCGGGCCACCAGGCTT